ACGTAACGTAACGTGACACCTACATAAACGTAACGTGACACCTATGATCTATGGTAACATGAAATTTCCTATATAGGAAATTTCATGTTACCATAGATCATAGGTGTCACGTTACGTTTATGTAGGTGTCACGTTACGTATAGGTGTCAAAATACAAATTTTCTCTTATGTATAATTCTGATAAAAATGAATAAAATTTAATTGATTATAAATTATTTTTTATTACATAATTTAAATAATATTATAATAAAAAAATTAAATTAATACTATAATAAAAAAATAACTTAAGTGAAGGGGGTATGAAACCAGGTTTCAATTGTTCAATAAACAAAATTACTTAAAACTCTAATACTCTATAAACAAAGCAATAAATAAATAATAGGTCACTCTAAGTCATCCTCATTAATATTGTCATCATCTTCGTCTGCTATATCTATAATGGGATAGGTTCCATCATCTATTCCACCAACTTCTTCAAACTCCATATCTTCATCCACAAGGGTGCATCTTGCTGCCTTGCCTTTTCCTCTATCATTTCCTATACAAGAAATAGGATTTCAAATTAATTAAATAGGCACATATAATAATATCTATGCAACTAGTCCATAATTGTTTAACAACTTACTTGAACCTTCACCAACTTTTCTTTTCTTTGCATTCGAAGATGAGTCAACATTAATCGTAGTTGTAGTTGATCGATTCTCCACACTTCTATCATAGTAGTGATAGGCACAGTCCTAATTGCTTCAGCATCGAATAATTCTTCTTCATCAAGCCAAGAAGCGTCAAGGGAGAGGACAGGATCTTCTTTTTCAGCAATCCATTCATCATCCGAATCAATTTCATCAATTAGTATTGGATCGATGTTTTGTCTTCTTCTAATACTCCTCTCTCTTAGTTTAGTGTTGTACTGGTGAAGATGGGGTTGGAAGAGGCACATAGAGGTTGGTTCAATTAGGCGTTGTGGATTCGCTAGGTAATTGAGAGTATACCTGTGTAATTCCTTTAATTCTTCTTAGTGGATTGTTCTTGTGGCTGTTGCCCGTGGTTTTTTGATCACAGTTGGAGGTGTCCAATTGTGGGTTTTTCCACGTTAAATCGTTGTGTCTCTTTGTCTTGATTGTTTGATTGGGATTGTTATATTCTGCTTTAAATTGATACATAATCACAAATCAACATCTAGGGGATTTCTAGATTTTTCATAAATAAATTGGATTTAAGAGATTATGTAATAAAATCATACGGTTTTGACATGATATGGTTTCACGTATATGTATGAGTATTTTAGTATCCGTATTATCTTCTAATGTTTTAATATGAGATTGTTTGGTGAGCTAATGGTTGCTCACCCCCTGCCTGTACATGTGTATAGGGAATGTTTTTCAGATTTAAAGATCAAACAATGGTTTTTACCATTTCATAAGTGTAATGTAGTAATGGATTGTACTATTTCATCTGTTGTTTGGCTGAGTGCTATTTTTTTTTTTTGTAAAGAGTAGTGTCCTCTCTTTTATTTTAAGCCTCAGGGTATTTTTTTTATTTGTATGTAAATGTCATTGTTGTATAATAAGAGGGAATATGTATATTTAATTATTCATTATTTCATTAAAAGATGAAATATTATTTGTAAATGTACTTAATTAATGAATATCGGTAAGGTTATCCGAGTAATAAAATACGGGGCGTTACAACTGTTTCACTTTCTTCTACCGAAAGTTGATCATTCGTGATGCCTTTGCTTTTTTGCCCTTTTCATGCGATTTTGCTCCTTATTGGCTAACTGTTCCTCCATCCCAAGCCACTAGATAAAAAGACGAACAATTTGAGGTTTGGGCTAGCTTCTTGGTTTCTAGGGATCTTTCCTTTGGACTTAGTTTTTCATTTAACAATATAAAATACGACATGAAAATTTATACAACAATGATACATCCCCATAAATTTTGAGCTCTAAACCAGCTCTAGTGAGCTAGGAAAAAAAAAAATCAAGGCCAAAACATCACATCATGTGGGGCCTACACATACATTAGAGCTCTTAGAGCTCTCAACCATTTCTCAAATTTGTAATGCCTCTCAATTCGCCCATCAATTTGGTTTGTTCCAAATGATACCCATTCCTTCATACTGGTCTCAAAATGACACCTTTTGGGGTAGATTTATCTTGAGCAATTAAGACCTTGAAGCACTTAACTTCGTTTTCCCTACTCTAAAGCAGAATTTTCATTTCAGAGCCTTTGATGAAGCTCTAGATACCACCATTGAATTCGATGTTTGGTGGGGAATCTACGTCTTGAACAAGACCTCTATTGATCCAAAGGTCCTTCTGCTTCGTATCTTCCCAGACCGTATTGCAAAGATCGAAGACACCAAGGAAAAAACTCCTCAAAGTCCTACTCCTTCTGGAGAACAAAAAAAAGAAAAAGAAAATAGTACTATTTCCTTCCCTGACCGTTTCAATTCGATCCTTTGTTTTGAGAAATTCTTTAAGTGTAAATGGAACCGTCTAAAATTTGAAAAAATAAAGAGAATACAGGATAAAAAGTTAACTGAAATTTCTAACAAATAGAAAGATAAGGTAAACTTGACATTCCTTAGAGCCTATCAGACCCTAGGTGCCAAAACTCCTGCCTTAGAAACTTATCTAAAACCTTATGGTAAAGCTATTTCTCTCTTTCTTGATACATCCTCAACCTTTGCTGACACACTTCGTGAAAAAGGAATGGATGCCTTCCTTTTTGAAAATGAGAAAATTACTATTGCAAAGACCAACTCTTGAGAGGTTGAGGATGATATTAGTTAAGGAGTAATCAGAGAGTCCTTGCCCATGATGCTGGTCAATTCCTTCTCTTTTTGGTGGTTTACATTTATTTCTACTTTTTTTTGACAAATTCTCTATTCTAGCTTTGTAGTTTTGTACCTGCCACTTCTGACATGCCAACAGAAATTGGAAAAAAAAGCCCACCAGCAAAAAAAAAAAAGTCATATTTTTAAACTAAATCAGTAGGTCTAGAATGGTAAATGATAACCTCAATCTTTACTAAAGAAATAAATTTCTGTCTATAGGAAGTCACTGCTCCACCAGCCAAAAGAACCAGGTCAAACTATAAAGCAGAAATCACTGCAAGTCCTCCAGGCTCTTCCTTCCCTCAGGTACGAATGTTCCATTACTTCTAGCTTACTTCCTCTGACCTTCTATTCTGAGCCTTTTTTCTTGTTTCAGAAATCTCCTGAAGTCATGATAACCAAGGAAACCAAGGTTCCAGCCAAGGGAACACCAACCCCAACCAAGCTGTAGACACCCCATTTTTGACCGACCTTAAGACTCAGACGTCATTGATTGAGCGCTCGGTGATAGTGCATGTTGTGCTCGTTTCGAGTTTCTGGAGTTTTGGCCGAGTGCCTTGCCCCCGGGCCTCTTAACTCTTTGTGCTTCAGCTCGGTTTGCGGACCAAGCCTTGTTTCTCTTTCCTAAGGGAGGGAGAGGTCTTGTAGACCATCTCTTTGTGGTCGTAGACCACTTTTCCCATTTGGAGACTAGTTTCCGATTTTCAAAGCCTTCGGCCGCGTGCCTTGTCTCGCGACCGCTTAACGTTCTCCGTTTGGCGTGGTTTTGAACCACACCTTGTTTCCTTGGCCTAAAAGGCCACTGTGGTTTGGAAGACCACTTTTGTGGTCGTAAACCACTATTGGTGCTTGTCAGCTAGTTTTCGAGGCTCCCGACTGCGTGCTTTGCCTCCCGAACTTTCGTCTTGCATCCGTTTTGGTTTGTTTTTGGTACAAACCTTGTTTTCTTTGTTTGGAATGTGGTACAAGGGTGGAAGACCATTTTTTTTTCCTTGGAGACCACTTTTCTTCCCGCCAGCCAATTGTGGACGTCCCCGAGCACCCTGGGAGGATGAGTCCCGTTCTGTTCGTTTTGGGCTCACTACAGTTCGGACTCTAATTGTCACGGTTCTTAATCTGAACCAAAGAGTTCAAATCCGACAAATCGTTTTGAAAAACAGATTTTTGTAAAGAAGTGCCAAACAGGGATTGCTTTGCCAGATACAGAGTCGTCACCTAAATATTTTATTTTGGGAGAATTTAGGAAACCCTGACTCGTTTGCCTAAGGCCACGTGTCCGTTATCACCAGAGTTGTCTCGGCTCGAGAACTTGGGTACGATTGGGGAAGGTCAGCTATGAGCACCTCCTCTCGCCCGATCCGAAGATTGGCCTCTATTAATCATGATATCTTGTTTTGAAAACATTATGCATTCTTAATCCGATTATTAGCCTTTATTTACTATGTTATGCGCACAGCAAACAAGTATAGACTGGGTCATCTAAATTGGAACGAAACATTTCATGTCTGTTTGTTTAAAAATGGTTTGATGATGCTACCCGCAACTAGGCTAAGACATGAATTTTGCCACCCTCAAGTGGGCTTAGAAAATATGGTTTTGCCACTTCCAAGTGGGCTTAAAACTTGCATTCAATGCATTGTTCCAATTTCAAATAACCTAACTTGCATCCACAGGCATTCAGGCAGTTATATCACATAAGCAGCTAGCCTCATGGTAATTATGCTATCATGGCGACATTCACACACATGTGGCATACTAAAGCATAAAAGCTTACCTAGTACTCCAAGCCAAAACAGAAATTAGTTAGTAATCATGTGCATGATCCTAGTTCATGTTTAAAATGGCTAATGCAACACATGCAAAGATGCAATCTAGACAGGCTCGACTATTCTAAGATGGCATATGATGACACCACAGCTAACACATATTCAACTTGGAATTGAAATACAATGCAGCTAGTATGATGCGCCGAGCCCGGTGCATGCAATACAAATGGATGGATGCACGCATGCAAAGCATAAGGTATGCTAATTTAAATATGCCCTAATACTAACCATTGAAAGCTAGTAAATAAAAGGGAAGAAAGACATGGGGTTGGAAGACATACACACACTCACGCACACTTATTACACAATTGCCCTCACTCGGAGGGTCCAAATAAATATTACACAACCAAATGAATACTACTAAATTAATTAATACATAATTTCTAATTAATTAACAAATTAAATACAGGAGGGTGGCTGCAGCCCTGCCTCAGAATGCGTGGATGATGCATGCTCGGTCCACCTTGCCCGAAAACCTGGTACCATGCCACTGTTGCCTCTGTTTACACTGTCCTGCTCCTCTGAAAATTTGCGCAAGTCCCAATGATGCTTCTCTGAACACTGGGGAGCATCACCGACCAAGTGGGAACACCACCGGCCGAAGGGAATGGTCATCGACCATCGGTTGAGCCATCGGCTAATTGTATTTGGTCGGTTGGCACTCCAAGTAGCCGGCTGGCTATTTCTTCCTGCAGAATCTTGCAGTTGACAGCAACAGAGGACAAGCAGTGTATGGCATGGAATTCTCAAGCAAATGTGAGCATGGCCACACTCCCTATCATGCAATGGACTCAAGGGAGCATAACCTTCGACCCTCGGGCCATCAATTATGCATTTTGATGCGTGATGGCCTAAGAAGCCAAGTTTGCCTCTTAATGTAAATGCATGGAACAAACAAATGAATGCCAACACCCTATCATATTGAGATCAAGGGTATTGGTGACCCAAGGGTTGAGACGTGTTTCGTCACTTTGAGTACGAACACACCTCACCCCTCATGCTTGGTTTGACACCCCAAACCAAGCAATGCAAGACATGTATACAAACATGGCTCAAGTTATGCAACATAAGGCTAAGATGCAAAACATGTCAAATGCAATGCAATCTATCATGTAAGCATGTAATGTCCAAATATGCAATGCAATTAGCTAAACAACATGCAAATGTAATGCAATGTAAGCATGCAACCAATACAATGTAACATGCCAAACATGCAAAGTATGTGAAGATGGACTTATACTGA